TTTGCGGAGAGCTGCCAAATTTCCAAAAGCCAAAGAAAGGAGTATTTGTAGGAATTGGACAGATTATGAACAGATGCCCTGATAGTCACATGATAAGTGGAAATTTAGTTTCATAATTTGATTAAAAACAGAGGATTGAAATCACAGAAGGAAATAACCAAGAAATGATTCAGATGTGTATGCGGCATGACTTAGTTAACTTGACTTAAGTGAAAATTCATAAACTGAGGATAGAGCATGTAAGAGCAGCTGAAATCTAGATGATGAACTATAATCCTGTATCCTGTGATTTTACTAAAGGGGAGGAAAACAGGACAGTTGCAGTTAGAAATCTGTTGTTTTTTAAAAAAAAAAAAAAATCTGGAAAAAAATTACGTCCTATTCATCCGCTTCAGCATAAATTAGATGTGATTTCAAGTTGCTTTGTTTGCAAATTTGCAAGGGAATAGATGTCAAAAAGTCAAAACGGGGATGGTTTAAGAGCGCTGGGAGAAGAGCAGGTATTGGGCAGGGGGGTGGCAGTCGCTCCCCAGCCCCGAGGAGCGTAACGCCGCAAATTATCGCCTTGGGTACGTGCACAGGGCTTTGGGGGTTGAGGAAAGTGACAGTACACCTTCCTTGCTGCTTTTTTTCCTGGGAAAAAAAAAAACAAAACAACATAATTGACTTGGGTGGGTGGGTAGCCCAGCCGAGCAGGAGCTGCGGGGTTGCCCGGCGGCCACGGGCACGTCGGTGCCGGAGCAGAGGCAACAGTGCAGGGAAGGGGGAGCCCAGTAAAGCCAGCAAAGGAGCTTTGATCTTGAAAATTTTAAAAAAATTTAATTTAAGAAACGGAGCAACACGATGAAAAATAGCAGGGCTTTTTGATTTTTAGATAGAGCGCGTGGGTTCTCACCATCGACCTGAAATTCTTTGCTTTTAGAGAGACATTTTGGACGAGTAGCCAACAGAGTTGTAGGAGACACGGCGAAGCGCCCAGGTCGGCCCCGAAGATGCTGGGAGGCCTGGGGTGCAGGGGGTGGGGTGGGGAGTGTCTCAGCCTTCATCCCCATCCTCATCCTCGAGGGGGAGGAACCCCCAGCGGGTGGGAGAAAGCAGAGGCTCTGGGCGAGAGGGGAACATATGTCCCGCGGTCGCTATACATCGCGCGGGGCGAGCGTCCCTTCCGCGGGACGGTGGCTGCTTCGTCGGGCTGCTGCTGGCCATTTAGGGGCCAGCGTGTTCCCAGGGATGCGCCGAGAGGAGCGAGCAGGAGCTGCCCTGGGTTTCAGCCCACGGGATGCGAGGAAAACGGCTTCATTTTGACGTGGGGGCTCTGGGCTGCGCTACCTGCCCAGGTGTCGGCCGCTGGGATCCAGCTGCTGCCAGAGGCATTGTGGGTTGCTCAAGCACTAACGAGAAAGCTGGTAATTACCCATCGTTTCCCCTGGTGTTTTAAAGAATATCCCCGCTACCTCTTTTTGTAAGGAGGGTTACGGATGCCGTCCGGCTACCCTGGGCACATTTGTCAGTGTTTCCTCGTGAAATCTTCGCGTCGTTCAGTCAGAAGTTGGTGTTTCGCTGTGGTTCAGTGAAGTCTCTTTGTTTCGTGATCCAAATCGTTAGTTTTCCTTTTTCTCAGCATCGTGTAAAATCTTTGTGGATGTTTTTCTGAAAAACCTGTACCAAGATGCATTACATCTCCGGGGAGCATTTACTTTTAAATCCAGCAAAATATATAGAAAATAGCAGTTGTAAAGGAAATTCTACAACATTGCAGTAAATCTAGAATAAAGCGTAGTACAGCTGAAGAGCACATTTTATTCTAGTATTTTTATTTGATTTTTTTCTCTTCCGTTACTTTAAAAATACATATTTTCGTATCAATATCTGCAAACAGAAAACAAATCACTCAGATGGGGAGAGCTTCCCTTTCATACCTGATAACTCTATTTGTTTTATCTCTAAATCTGGTTATTAGGAGGAGCTGAGTGGCAATCAATCTTGTGGAATATATAACAAATTGGCATGTTAATCTTGGATGGGGTTTATGTTTTTACCATAAATCCACATAAATTTGCAGTTTGCAAACTAGCAGACTTGTGAAGCTTCAGTTGTTGCAGTGATCAGGCTAAACAGTAGTTTCATTGCCGGTCACTGTATAAATAATAAAATTTGAATCAGAATGAAAAAAAAAAAAAAAAAGTCCTAATTTAATCGCAGGGATTATTGTCATCTTTATAATGTTAAATCCGAACAGAAATCTTTTTTTGTCAGTTGTTGAAATACGGAAATTCTCAAAAGCAAGTTTCCGGTAAAGTCAGAACACTCTTTTTGTTTTAATTAAAAATAAGTTCCCACACGTGTATTTTGAAATTGATTTCACGGTGTGGTTTTGGGTTTGGGTTTTTATTGGACTCCTTTCCAGCAATAGCTAATATCCTCCCCACAGCTTTTTACGACTACTATTATGCTCAAAATTAGAGGTGGATTTCATTGAGACGAAACTTTCGGTGGTGCCAGTTTTCCCGAGCCTCGACCCTGTGCAGGTAGCCGGGGTGGTCGGCAGCCTCGGCACGCCGCGAGCCTCCGCCACGCTCCTGGCAGCCAGCTCGGCGCTCGCCTGGGAGCGCTCAGCCCCTGCGCTGGCGTTTTGTTCAGTCAGTGCAGCGCGGACAAAAAAAAAAACCAAAACAACACCACGACACCCCAAACCTGCATTTTCTTTGTGATTTCAACTATCGCTCGGGAGGCAGGTGACCATCTCGGGACATTTCCAGGGATATTTTTGCCTCCGTGTTACAAAAGATGCTTTCAGGAGAATGGTACCTGCTCTCTGCCCTCCCTGCGTGGGGAAGAGTGGCAGCGTTTCTGCTGGACAAACCAACCTGTCAGGGCTTTAGAACCGCTGCAAAAGTTTTTTTCTGGATTGCTTCTTGCTTCGAAAGAGCGAAAGGCGATTTCTGTTTGTCGCAGATTCGCCTCAAATGTCTGCTTCCTTTAGTTTTCGGTGAATACAGTTGTTGTGCGGAATGGAAGTACTTCTACACCTCGGTACTCTCAATTATTTTAACAGCATTTTTATTTTTAAGTGAAATTCTCGCAAAGCAGAATATGCACTTCAGATACTTCAAGATATTTTAATGACCTGTCCAGTTGATTAGAAACTAAAGTGCAAAAAGGCATTGCTGAATATGTTAATCACCCGTAGCTCTGTCTTCCAAGAATAAGTAAATTAAAATACAAATCCAGCAATGTGAATACAAGAACAGGAGGATTCCGAGGGAAATACAGCCCCTTCTGAAGGAGATTGGGTCTTGTTGTCTTTGTGTGTCATGAATCATACATTTAATTTGAAATAATACTGCTTTAGAAAGAGCACTTAGGTGTCTCGAACAGAACAAATACCTTATAAAAGGTCAGATTTATTTAGGTTATAGCTTGTGTCACACTAAACTGCCAGGATTTATGATGCTGAATGAAGTATCTGCATTTATAAATGGACTAACTAGATTATAATATACTTAGTTGATAGGGTGGAAATATTGCTGTATTTCTCTTAAAATATGTATATTAACTTGTTCTCAATGTGATTTATGCAGTGGATATGGAGATTAATGCAGCAGCGTTTGTGAAAGCAGTTATTGTTGATTAATTCATAAGTAGTCTTATAAAAATTTCAATGATAAATGGTAATAAATATGTTGTATTAGCTCCCCTGTATTATAAGAAATGGCTATGAGTTTGGAAAACAAATTAAACTACGGAAACAATCAGAATGTAAAAAATAGTGGAGATTGGAGCTGAACTTGGTGTGTGGCAGGTGAGACTCTCTCGGGTGTGCTCGGGGCAGGGTGCATCCCAGGCCAGGTTGTGACCGTCCTGCCCGTGCTGGACCCCCGTGGCCAGTCTCAGCCACAGCTCATCGCAGCCGTTACAGACTGGAGCCAGGCCTAGTGTTAAGCTGGAACTAAAGTGTCTGAACTCCAGAGTGGAGACGTTGAGTCGCGGGTGGCCGTGTCCTCGCCGAAGCAGCCCGTTCCCAGCGTGGGGGCGCTCGAGGTGCATTTCCGTGGTGCGTGTTGGGATTGGCTTTGCCCAGCGTGCTCAGGGTGTCCTGTGAGGGGCTTCCCCCCTCGGCGGGGCTTCAGGAGGGAGCACTTACTTCAGGTGGTGTAACCCGGGTGTGTCTGCACGCCCCAGTGTGATCCGCCCCGGCAGCGGGGTGTGGGGCCGGGTCCCCCCAGCTCTGCCCGCTCCTTGGGCACACACGGCCTCGGCGTGTCCTGGGCTCCTGTCTGTGATACAACGCGACCGAACGTTCGTCCTCGGACGCACGGACTCTGTAGGGTCTCTCCGGGCCAAGGGGGTTCGCTGGGACAGTTGCCTACTGGAGTTTTCTGCCTTCGGTTGAGAGCGTGGAGAGCTCTGCGCCCACTCGAGCGATGAGGGTCGGGGTATTCTGGATTGAGCCAACTGAGGATGAGATATATCGGGCATGAAGATGAGATATATTGGGCATGACTGTATTAGGAGAAATCAGGTTTTTCTGTTAAAATTTATTTTCCTTGAGTACCCATGTGCCTTTGCTGAGCTATGACACGGTAACATTTTGTACCCAGGTTCATCGTCCAGTCCAAGTGGCTTCTCTGCATAGTCACCTCACCCTTAACTTCATTTCAAGGCTTTGCTGTTCTTTTAATCTTGAGCCTGAAGCCTTCATCCATTTCAGCTGCTGATAG